GGGGGGGGGGGGGGTGCCCATACAAAATTGTTCCCAAGGAGCACCATGTCTATTATGAGTGTTACTAGCAAGGGGTGATTTTGTGTCATAAAAATGTGTTCTTGAGTTTTTGGCACACAAATAAGCAGATTCCTGGTGAGTCACAATGGTGTGTTCATCAGTCACTCTCAGCACAGAAAGCTATAGGACAATTACCGAAGAAACAAAGACCCCATTAGCAAAACTTTCAGTCTAATTTTTTTTAGTGCATGTGACTTCAGGGAAGCCAGTGGAATTAGGAATTCAGCCCCATTAACATCCAGGCTGGCTTTCAGCATGTCTCATTTTTCCCCCACCCTGTGTGTGCCTCAACTGTAGAGTCTCTTATTAACCTTATGTTCAGCATTATGCATTGTTATTGATGTTTTCACCGCCTTTCTTGTCATTACAGTTTTATTTGTTGTTATAATCTATATCCATTGTAATATTCAATCCCTGAGCTTGGTACAATATCTGGCAAAAAAATAATTACTAGAAACTTCTGCTGTTGCCTCTCACAAATGGGGCATGGGAAAAAACACCATATAGAGCTTCCCCACACCCCCACACATACTTTCTATGAAAATGGACTATTTGTAATTTAAAAGACTGTCTTGGTTACCAAGATGTTTTGCACAGTGACATGGAGGGACACCTGAATGGCCAGGGAAACTTCGTAAGATGCAGGACTGAGGATTGGAAAAGTTATCAGGGACTGCCTTTCCCCACACATACCCCAGAGACCACTACAGTCGGGGTCACAACATCGGCTAGTGATTCCAGGCCCCAGGGAGGCCAGGCCCGCTGCAACCAGGGCCAGGGCCTTTTCAGTGGTGGCCCCATACTGGTGGAACGAGCTCCCAGAGGAGATCAGGGCCCTGCGGGACCTTTTACAGTTCCGCAGGGCCTGCAACACGGAGCTCTTCCACCAGGCTTTTAATTACCACTACCACTACCACCAACTATTATCATTAGTAACAACGGGGTAGTGGGTCGACCCTATGAAGATCGAGCCACAGCATCGTGACGGATCCATTACCGCTGAACCGGGACTTTGTATTACATCTGCACTATGCCATCTAAATTTGATTGAAGGACTAACATCACTGAGCACTTTAATTGTAAAATATTTAATTTTAATTGTAAAATATGGTTGTTTTATTTTGTTTTATGTGTTTTTATATTTGGCACATGGTGCCCTAAACTGTGAGCCACAATCTATAGATAGGGCCTAAGAAATCTTGCCTTGAGCTAAATGAACTCTCAGGTTTCTTTCCAAATTTGTGACTCTGAAAACCTTTCAGTTCCTTCCTTCCCCTCTTTTAAACTTCCTCCTTTTCTCCCTGTATATTCATCTTCCTCAGCTACTTTTCACTGCCTGCTACATTTCTTTGGAGTATATGTACATTTCCTGGGTCACCCACTGAAATGGAAGTGTTTGAAATCTACATGTCTCTGTATGTGTGTTGGGGATGGTTATACTCCAGGAGCCATTCTCTTTGAACTCTTTATGCAGGAGATCCCTGCCTCAATGGCAGCAGCTTCCAGCTGGGGTTCTGCCTTCATTGTTCATCAGGAATCAAGGCAAACCATAGTCAGTTCTGCTGTTCTTGCTGTCTCTGTTGCTCCTGGGGGCTGCCTTGATTTCCCACATGGGGAGAGTCCACTCATTGAAATGTCTTAATCTATAAGCAAGAGTGCACATGTGCTTTACACAAAGAAAGCATAGAATCCTTCACTGTGTTAGCTGGTGAGGTGTGGTTTTGTTGTTCAGTCGCACAGTCGAGTCAGACTCTTCATGACCCCATGGACCAGATCACACCAAGCCTTCCTGTCTTCCACCGTCCTCTGAAGTTTGCTCAATTTTATGTTCGTTGCATCTATGACACTGTCTAACCAGCTCATCCTTTGCCGTCCCTGTCTTCTTTGACCTTCGATCTTTCCCAGCATCAGGGTCTTCTCCAGTGAGTGCTCCCTTCTCATTTGGTGGCCAAAGTATTTGAGCTTCAGTTTCATTATCTGGCCTTCCAGGGAACAGTCAGGGTTGATTTCTTTTAAGATTGACTGATTTGAACGTCTTGCAGTCCAAGGGACTCTCAAGAGGTGTGGTAGAAAGTAGTAAATGATGACTGCCAAACAGCTTCAGCCAGAAAGTAGCGAAGTGAAGGCCCTTAGCTTCAACTGTGTCCTGTAGCCTTGGAAGATGTAGGGCACCTTTCTTAACAGCAGCAAAGGCTTAAACCTTTGTCCTGCATTACTAGCCACTGCTGTTCCTTTGTTGTATGCTCGGTAAAAACCAACATGATAAAGCGACAACCTTGCAAAAGTTAAGAGAGGGGACACCTCCTGGGAACCCTGTATACACTGTCTTTGAGTTCCATTATAGTAAGAAAAGAAGTAGGATATAAATAATAATAATAGTGGTGTCTTCCTGTAGTATTTTAAGGCAATGAGGAGAAATACTTGGTGATGAGTTCACTAATTAAAGCTGATGTTTATGGACAGAGTAACATGAATTAGTTGAGGTACAGGAATTTCACTTATTAATGCATCATGCCAGGTATAGATTGAAGGGGAGTAAACATGGAAAAAACACTGTGTTCAGACAAAACACGCAGTTCTGATATGCTACTATGCCTTCTTATATGTGTTTAAATCATATACTTAAATATACAATAAAGACCCTAGTGTATCTTATTAATGACAATACATTGATAGCAAAAACCTAAGGAACAATATATATCTTGTAGAAAAGTCTACAGCTACAGAGACGAATATGCAGACAGAATTCAATGCTGTAGACGATCTTGTTTTCTGATGAGAGATGCAGCAGTCGTCAATGCCAGTATTGTAGGCTGTTTTGCTTTCCGAAAAGAGATGCGGCAAGCATCAATGCAACACACCTCCCAGGCAAAAGTTGTGTGTTTCGAGAAATTCTTCTTCAGGCAAATTATTTTTCCTGGAACTGAATTACAAATACGATATAACACAATATACTTTACATAGAAACCAGAGAAAAAAGAGAGCTAGCTTGCCGCACTCACCCAAAGCTCACAATGCTACAATGCACAAGTCAAACAACTCTGTAGAAGGTTTCTCCAGATTTCCATAGGAACAACCCAGAAAGACCACACTAATAAAACACAGCTGCACCGATGATTCCAAAGAGAATTAAAGGAACAGTACTTACAACATCTCACAGGGTTAACAACTATGACTATAACCAGGGGTCTTGTTGTAGAAAAAGAGCTGCCGGAGCTCATTAGCATAACTCATTAGCATAACTTATTTGCATATGCCACGCCCCCTGACATCACCGGAAGTGACAGAAGGCCACACCCCCTGACATCACCGGAAGTGTGTCAGAAGGCCCGGCTACTTACCCTCCTGCTTCATCCTCATTCCCAAACGGAATGAGGATCGAAGCAGAGGGCGGGGTAAAGAAGGGGGCGGGGCTTCACCACGTGACCGCCCCGCCCCCTAGAGGTTCTCTTCCGGAGCTCCGTACCTGAGAGCTCCCCCCCGACTAGAGCCCTGACTATAACTAAGCTAATTGCTTGAATTCTGAACCAGATTGTAAAACTACACAATTTCCAGAAGAATACAGCATTACTATCTTAACAGTTCCAGCACATTGAATAACATTACAGAATTCAAGGGAAAATCCCAACATTACATACATGACCAAAAGCCCAATAATATAGATGCTACTTGTGAAAAACAAACACCATGAATGATAAAATGAACCAGAATCCAGACTACAATACCCACAAATATACCATTTATAAAAAATGAACTGAGGTCTAAGGATACATTTAAGCCACGAGGAGATACTGTATTAAATTTGTGTAATAAAAAAGCTTCATTTTGAAGCAATGTTCTATGAACATCATGAATATCACATGTCTTGTTACTAACCACCCCATAGATTGCCAAACATTGAAGATCATTAAATTCATACTTTTGATCCAAATAGTGGCTCACAATGGGAGCATCTTGATTCTTAAGTCTCACCAGGGACGTATGCTCCAATATACGAGTTCTTAAACTCCTCATGGTAGACCCCACATAATATCTGGGGCAAGAACACCATAAAACATAGACCACTTTTGTAGATTCACAATTAGTGAATTGTTTCAGTCTCCATATGAAATTGTTTATTGTGATCTCGTTAGTCTGGGTGGTATGTTGACATACTAAACAGTTTTTACCACATTTGAAATGCCCTGCCAGCAAATTAAGACTTGGACTGAAAATCAGGGCTTTTTTTGTTTTAAAAAAAAAAGCCCAGCAGGAACTCATTAGCATAATAGGCCACACCCAATAGCATAAACTCATTAGCATACGAGGCCACACCCCATGTTACCACACCCACCTTTTGTTTATTATTCTTTTTACTTTGTTTATTGCCAGGGCTTTTTTTGTAGCAGGAACTTCTTTGCATGTTAGGCCACACACCCCTAATGTAGCCAATCCTGATGAGTTTCTGCTGTTGGGTGTGGCCTATTATGCTAATTAGTTCCTGCTGGGCGTGGTCAACTCGGGAGCCAGCCGGAACGCCGTTCTTGTGCGTTCCTGCCCAAAAATAGCCCTGCTGAAAATTATTCATATCAGAATGCACAACCATACCCTGAATGTTGGAACTCCTTTTATAGCCTATTTTGGGGGGATTAGAACACCCCTGTAAATGCTGTGTGATATGCCAATGCCTGCAGAGTATGCTAGCAATCCTGTTTGTGTGTTTTGTTTGAACACGGTGTTTTCCCACATAGTTATGGAATTTGTGTTAAGCATCGTACTGTTTGGAGGTTTCCTCTGTTCGTTAGATTGTATCTAGGTGATTCATCGTTGGATGAAAATTGTTTGAAGAGATATCACTTAAGTTGTGTTTTTATATCAGTTGATAAACAACTTTTTCTCAAAAGTTTCTCCCTGCATTTCCTCCTATGTTTCTGTTTTCATGACATACAAATTCTTTGAAACCCTTTGAAATACTGCTTTACACCAAAGGTGATTAAAATGTGGAATTTGCTGCCAGAGGATGTAGTGATGGCCACAGGAATAAACAGCTTTAAATGGGGATTGGGTAGATTCATGGAGGATAGGTAGGGCTGCCAAATCCCCCCGAGGGGCGGATTTCCCCCCCGCTTTGGAGGCCCGATTTCCACCCCCGCGGAATCTGGCCCCGGGGAAAACCCCACCCCCGTGTGCACGTCACCCAGATGTGACGTCACACGCTGGGGGCGGGGCTACAGCAATTTGAGGGGAAAACTCTATGTTTTCCCCTCAAATGGCTGTGGCCCCACCCCCAGCGTGCCCGGCGTCATGACGTCACATCTGGGTGATGTAGATGCGGTGCGCGTGCACACCGGGAGCTGCCCAGGAGTCCCCCGCCAAGGAGGTGAGTGCCATTTGGCAACCCTAAGGATAGGTCTAACAGTGGCAACTATCCATGGTGGCTGAGAGGAATCTCCACACTAAGCCTCTGAATCCCAGAGCCATGAGGCAACGTCTCTTTTTAAAAATATTTACAGTCTAAAAGGTGGATCTCAGTTGGTCTTGTTATGTATCTATTTAAAATTTATAGCTGACCTTTCCTTGTGTCTCAGGGTGGTTTATGTTTCTAACCACAGCATCTTTTCTCACTGCCTTCTCCAGGTTTCAGCCTTATCCATCTAATTGCCACGGGGGTCTCCTGTTTCTTTGGCTCTAGCCTTTTAACTTTTGTGATCTACGTTTACTGCCAGCGCTGCCAGAGGCAATCCCAGGAGTCTACTGTTATTCACCCCACCACTCCCAACCATCTCCATTACAAAGGCAACACAACACCCAAGAATGAGAAATACACACCTATGGAATTCAAGGTAGGAGGCTCCACCATGCATGACAGTGCAGTCCGTTTCAGCAAGGCGTTGACAGTACCCTTAGTACTGAGCTAGATGACCAGCAGAAGCATGTGGCATTGTCTAACCTAGCCATCTTCCTGACATGCTTGCATTATATGTGCAGGGAATATTTCTATATGAGAGATAATTCAAACATGAGTGCTTTCTCCTGCAGTCTGGCCAATACTGTCTAGCAAAACCTGCACCAGCTGTTATCTACCTGCCCACTGCTGCCAGTTTAAGAAGAAGAAGAAGAGAAGAGATTGGATTTATACCCCACCCTTCACTACCCAAAGGAGTCTCAGAGCGGCTTACAAACTCCTTTCCCTTCCCCTCCCCAACAACAGACACCCTGTGAGGTAGGTGGGGCTGAGAGAGCTCTGACAGAAACTGCTCTTTTTCAAGGACAGCTCTTATCAGAACTAGGCTTACCCAAGGTCATCCAGCCAGGTACAAGTGGAGGAGTAAGGAATCAAACCCAGTTCTCCCAGATTAGACTCTGTGCACTTAACCCACTACAGTTTAAGTACAGAATGTTTTGCTACTGTGATTGCTTGGTTGGGAGGCTTGGTTTTTCCATAGCACATGAGATTATTTTGCCTATTACCCTTGGTGCTAACAGATAATTGATCCATGACCCTGAAGGAACTTGGATGTAAAAATAACCTAGATTTTGAACATAGGCCCAGCAGCCTGTTCAAGCTCAATATGCAGGTTTGGAACCATTGGACGTGCTCAGTTGTATTTGCATATATTTTTTTTACATACATAATATGTTTTTCGTCATTACATAAGTTATTTCTGTCATTATTTCTTATTTTGCTTTCCTGTTCCTTATGTGGGTTTCCTCCAGATGGCCGACATACTGGATAGAATAATAACAATATTGTAAATTTGATGGCTGTGTGACCTTTTGACCAATGACAAACACCGTCTTTTCTTGATCAAATTCTTATTTAGGGGGCCTATCCAAAAAGCCATATCCAAAGAATTCTAGTTGTCTTGGCAACCTCCTTTTCGGGAGAAGTCCAGCATTTCTGTTATCAAGAAACAAACCTGACGAGCTAACAAGTATCTCAGGAGTGATTAACACATAATAAAGCATCTACATTGTAATCAGCAAAGTAACTTGCAAGCAGGGGAATCATACCTCTTAAAAGCAATTAATTAACTTTCAGGAGCAAAAGCACACAGATTACTACTTATAGTGTTTTTTTTTAAAAAAAACTGTAAGCAGGTAAAGGTACAGAAAGCAATTAGGGCCTCTCTGAATTTAGTCCTTCCTCAGAAAAAGGCTTCAAAATAACATTGCAGAAGAGGAAAAAAAGCCAACAAGTGTTTGGGCATTTGAGTACTGGTGAAGCAATTTAAAGATACCTTTCAGAGCTGAAGAATAGTTTTTGGCATCCAGCAGCGACCCTTCAGTTTATCAGGCCTGTAAGTTTTATTTTGAAGCCTGTTAGCGAAATTCGTAAGAAGCAGCTTACCTGACTTACAGTTGCCAAATTCCAAATGAAAAATTCTACTAACTGCCAGCGAAGAAATGGGGAATAAATCTGCCCAACTCTCCCTTGAAGCCATGCCTGTCAGTTTTTGAGGCTTATAACAATGCCAGTTATATGTATCTTTCCTCAAAGGCAAAAGTTCAGCACATGGATCCAGAGCCCTGCATGGGTCTAGTCCATTTAATGGAAGTCTCTGAGCTACAGGGGTGCGCGTTTTGCTCCTACAGAGAAGTCAGCTATATCAGAGTGTGTGTGCGCACGTGCGCGCGCTATATAATGGCACATTGATCAGAATTTCAGAATGTAGATGAACAAAGCAGGTGTCCAGAAAAATAATCTAATAGGTCATAATTATTTTCCAACTGGAATTGGGCAGGATTTGCTCTTCTTTATTTAGAAGTCAAATGATCATCTACCATCTCGGGACCTGTCACATATAATCAGCAGAGTCGAATAGAAACCTTTTTGGATTGTATCGCTTTAGGTTGCAAGGAGGGGAAAGATGCATATTTGAATGCTGACCATGGTGACAAAAATCTGTGGCGGGTCAAGGAAGGAGGCTAGGATAGTCGCTACCATCTCCTTAAGACGTTAGCTTTATGTGTAGAGGAAGCTTTCTAGGCGGAGGAGCGTCCAGAGTGGCTGTCTCCCATATGCAGTTTGAAGTGGTCTGCTCGAAGAGAAGCAGAAACAGAGCTGCCTGTGGGTTGGTCTTGGAAGCAGAATCACTGCACCCTCAGGATCCACATGAGTATTCTGAAATAGTCATGGGCAATATATTTGGATATACACAATGAGTTCAAGCTCTGCTTGGCAACTCATGTCTAGTGTTCCCTCTAAGCTGAGTTAGTGTGAGCTAGCTCACAGTTTTTTAGCCTCTAGCTCACACATTTTCGTCTTCGCTCAGGAAGGATGGCTCCAGAGCAAACTAGTTTATCCAGCAGCCAAATCTCTTGCTCACAACTTTAATGCCAGTCACTCACAAAGTAGAATTTTTGCTCACAAGACTCCACAGCTTAGAGGGAACGTTGCTCATGTCTAAGGTTTGGTCTTGGCAGGCAGAAATTCTTCAAAAATATAGAAGCTGTAATGATGTACAAAACGCATATAATCTCGCAATAATGATACAAAAATAAACAGTCAAATTGAAAAATATTAATTCCCAGCAGGTATCAGAAAGATGGATGAGCTTTTCCAGAGTTTTGGCATTCGTTTTGTGAAGAACGTCTTCCAAACATCAAGATGTGATAGTGTTGCTTCTTATTCCATAATGTGTAAATCCAATACAAAGGAACTAATATCCTATATGTTGAACATGTTCTTACATAAGAAATCCTTCCATCAACGGGCACACTCCGTGTGCCGAAAGCTGCTAGTACACTTCGTGTGCCCGTTGATGGAAGGATTTCTTATGTAAGAACATGTTCAACATATAGGATATTAGTTCCTTTGTATTGGATTTACACATTATGGAATAAGAAGCAACACTATCACATCTTGATGTTTGGAAGACGTTCTTCACAAAACGAATGCCAAAACTCTGGAAAAGCTCATCCATCTTTCTGATACCTGCTGGGAATTCATATTTTTCAATTTGACTGTTTACTTTTGTATCATTATTGTGAGATTATATGCGTTTTGTACATCATTACAACTTCTATATTTTCGGTTCTCTACACTAGCTGAAACCCCTCAGTTTTGTTAGGTAGAAATTCTTCTGCAGAGATGGCTTGGGACAGAGGAGGTTGTACAGGTTAGGTCAGAGTTGACTTTGAATTCAGAAATGGTTCTGTACCTTGCGTATGGCCTGCTAGCTCATATCCCGTGTCTCAGTAACGTCCTTTCTCTGTCAGAAATGTTGTCCCTGACCTGATGACCTGCCTCTGTATACATCCACTGACTTGGTAGTCTAGCAGTGGGGCTCACATTCTCAATGGGTTTCATGGATGCAGTCGCCATATAAATGAGGAGGTACCAAGGAAGCTGGCAGTGCAATCCTAAGCAAAGTTGTAACTCTTTTAAGGCCATCGAAGTCAATGGGCTTTGAAAGGTGGAACTCTGCATAGGATTGCACTGTGAGATTCTTGCTTACATCAGCTTCATGCATTCTTTGGCATGACAGGCAAAAAGAAAAGAAAAGCTTTTGAAGATTGCAACAGCCAAGGAGGTTTGACAAGGAAGCACTTTTGTTAAGTGCAAGTCAGCATGAATTTATGAAAGGTAAATCATGTCAAGCAAATTAGATTGTTCCCTCCCCTTCTCTTATCTCCCAGGTTTTCATTCTTTCTGCTAATTAAATAATTATTGATCTATAGAGAAAGGAAAACACAATCTAAGTTTCTGATATTGTTTCATCAATTTGAGAGGGTTTCACTGTCCTGAAATCATTGGGCCCTTCCCCACCCCCCGCCGCCCACTGCTTGTGACTAAGAAGACGGAAGACTCCGTCCTTAGGTTATCATTTATTTAGTGACAGTGTTTGATGTTATGCTGATGAGTCGAAGTGACACCGCCTCTACCCCTAAAGTCTTACCACGCACATCTACTTCAGAAAGATAAGATGGGACTCAAGGGAGCTGGGATTGACAGAGGATTAGTATTTATTTATTTATGATTTTTCTGTGCCTCAGAGCCCTGCACGAGACTGCTTACAATTAAAATCACCACAATATTTGAAAAGCCAATGAAAACAAACCATAGTAGCTTTGGGGAAAGGGAGACTGGGATTACAGTTGAAATGCACATGAGCCACAGTTGGTGGGCCATTAGAGAAATGGGGAAGGGGTTTTATTCTCATCAGTAGGAAGCCGCATGGTCAAAGCCATGGAAGCCTGGAATGGAAAAAGAGATATGTAGGGTCAATAGGAAATAAGGTTGTATAGGCCATAGGAGAGGATTAAGAGATTTCAGAGTCCATAGCCACGCTTCCAGTTTCATGCATCTTTGGCTTCTCCCAGAGAACCCTGGGAATGGTAGGCCCTTCGGTGTCCTCACTGAAGTACAATGCCCATGGTTTCACAGGATGAGGGCCTATTTGTCTCTAAGTGTATGGTAAAGACAAGCCCACAGGAGTTGAGAGCAGAGATCTGTAAGTGTGGTTGTAGAAACCTAAAGCTGGAGTCAGCACAGAGATCTAAGACAAGGGTAGATAAAACAGCATTAGAGTGAGAGGAAAACAATATTAGTCGAGGCCTTCTAAGCTGGCTGAAGCGGGGGGGAAATATGGGAAGGAAGAAATCCATTCCAGATGCATTATCCTTACCGTGACTGGTGCTCTCTCCCTATAAGCATCAGAGTAGCTAAATAAGAAGGTGCTCCTGACATAAGTCTGCTTTACTCATGAATAGGATCACAGCCTTGGTGCTGTGGGCACCTCTGAGAACGGCATTAGAAAATTGCCATCTCTCCATAATGAACTGTGAGTAAACTGTAAGACCCTGCTTTGTTAGGAAAGGTAGTCAATTTAGGCTTCCC